CGGGGGGAGGCCCCCAAAAATCGTTCTCTAGGAAATTACCACATTATTATTCTAGTAAATATATTTATAGGCTCAGCATAATAGTATAATACAAAAGTTTAACATTTTATGGGTGAATAGGGTTCGAAAAGGAAGGCTCCCTGGCTCGAAAACTGCCAATAAGCGTAACTAACGCTGTTAACTTTTAAATGTAAAATAACATACCCAACTTTTTCTGTAATGAAAACTGGTTAATATTTATTTCTAGCTAAAAAAATCCCATCTTTTTCTGCAGAGAAAACTGGTTTATATTTTGATAGAAATAACAACATTCTCAAAAATCCAATTAAAGAAATATTGAATCAGAAAAGAGCTTAATTAAATGTTTCTTGAAAGCATAGCCCCCGCTAGGTAGGAAATTTTTTTTAAGTTGTTGAATTATTAAACGCTTGAATGTTGTTAATTAACAAAACTTAACATTTTTAGAATAAATAGTAACGTAAGAACATCATGAACATCAGTGAGACTTACAATATTTTTATACCCTTTTCTCAGATTTTTTTAGATTTACTATACTTTCTTTTTTTTTAATAAAAAAGATAAAATGAAGAAGAGGCAGTGTATTCTTTATACGTAGATCTATAGTTAGGAACGTATGCTTTGTCCCTTTTCCTCCCTGTTAAAACAGCGGGAAATGAATGGATGGAAGCCTGGTTCATGATTATCCGGACTCTAATTCACTAGGAGGGAGAGAGAACTCAGTTATAGGGGTAGAGGGATAGGGAATACAGTTCTATACAGCTAATAGTATATTAGAGATATTATACAGCTAATAGTATATTAGAGATATTTAATACAGTTCTATACAACTGATAATATATTAGAGATATTTAATACAGTTCTATACAGCTAATAATATATTAGAGATATTTAATACACTTCTATACAGCTAATAATATATTAGAGATATGTTATACAGTTCTATACAGCTAATAGTATATTATAGATATTTAATACAGTTCTATAGAGCTAACAATATATTAGAGAATTTAATACAGTTCTATACAGCTAACAATGTCAATATATTAGAGATATTTAATACAGTTCTATACAGCTAACAATATATTAGTGATATTTAATACAGTTCTATAAGCTAACAATATATTAGAGAATTTAATACAGTTCTATACAGCTAACAATATAATAGAGATATGTAATACAGGTCTATACAGCTAACAATATATTAGAGATATGTAATACAGGTCTATACAGCTAACAATATATTAGAGATATGTAATACAGTTCTAAACAGCTAACAATATATTAGAGATATTTAATACAGTTCTATACATCTAACAACATATTAAAGATATTTTTTACTTTAAATTGGTTTATTAAAAGAATATTATTATTTATATTGTGATTATTATTTTTTCTTGTTATTTTCATCATCTTAGTGTTATAATCATTGTTTTTATCTTCAATATATTTTTTTTCATCGTTAAAATTATTTGAATTATTTTAGTAATTGATTAAGTTTTCTTGAAAAATAAAATTTTGTAATTTCTCAAAAACTTTGTGTAATATAGAATACTAGACTTTAAGGGCGCTTCGCGCCCATCTTCTATTTAAATTGTGAACATGTTCTTTTTGTTTACATTTAAAAACAAAGAAGAAAAAAATTTTGCGGAGTTTAAAAAAAAATTCGCGGATTTTCAAGAATTAAAATTTTTTTACAAAATTAAAAACCTTCAAAACACATTTTTAAAAAAAATTTATCATTCATAAACCTTCCCTGTGGTCACGTGATGTCCCACAAAAAATTTGGGCCCGATCGGTTCAGCCGTTTTGATGTTTATTGGATACAAACAAACAGACAGAAAGCCAAATTTATATAACTAGCCTTAGAGGGCGCTTCGCGCCCATCTTCTAAATTAATTGTGAGCATGTTCTCTTTGTGTACATCGTGAAACAAAACAAAAATAATTCGCGGATTTTCACAAAAAATTTCGTGGATTTTCAAAATTTTAAAAAATTTAATGAAGATCGAATTTTGATGGAGACAAATATTTAAAATTTATATCATTCATAAACCTTCCCTGGGGTCCCTAGATGTCCCACAAAAAATTTGTGCCCGATCGGTTCAGCCGTTTTGTCGTTTATTGGATACAAACAAACAGACAAACAAACAGACAGACAAGCCAAATTTATATATAGAAGATTCAGTTTTTTTTCTGTACAATGAACGGTGAAAATCATATTTTCTGAAAAAGTAATTAAATATTGCGTGATAGGGTCTTCTCTGTCCAACAGAAAAACATATTTTTATATTTTATTTTTAAAGATCTATTTTTTTCTTTTCATTCAGAGATTTTATTTTATTTATTTTTTGCTCGGCCAGTTTATAACCTATTCTGGAGAATACAGGGTGTGTATTCTGTAGTTTATGTATACTGGGTGAGTCAAAAAAAGTGTGATTAGCGGCGCCTGGTGCAAAATTGTACCTTTTTTTGAGCAACTCTCCTGTATGGTGTTTTTTCAATATTTTTTGAAAATTTTAAATTTTTTTATTATTTCAATGGCTTAAAAAAAATCCGCGAACCTTTTTTCTCTCAAAATCAAAAGTTCAGAAAAGCAAATATGTGTACATAAATTTTTTCTATCGAATTTTTAAAAATTGAATCACAGAATCACAGAAAATTCGCAAAATTGTAATAAGAAAATTTGCAATTTTTAGTTATAGCCTTATTCTCGGATTTTTTTGGGCCATTGGAATACCAAACAAAAAAATAAAAAGTTTTCAAAAAATATTGAAAAAACACCACACAGGAGAGTTGCACAAAAAGGGTACAATTTTACACCAGACGCCGCTAATCACATTTTTTTTTGACTCACCCTGTATGTATACAGGACAGGGTGTATATTCTCCATTTTCATACGAGGTGTGTATTCTGTACTACTTTATACAGGGTAGAATTTTCTGTACTTCTCTACATTATGAATTTCAAGTGTCCATGGGTGTGTACTGTGTACTGTGTAACCCTCAAAATGGTTTTCGGAAGTAAAGTCTGAAAATTTGGCACTTGAAGAAAAATCCCTTTAAATCAGAAGTATCTGGAAATTGTGACATTATTTTCTAGGAATTCAGGGGAAAAGTTCCATGAATCTCAAACACAGGAATTTATTTTAAGTTATATTTTTTCTTTTGATTTGAGAAAATTATGATTTTTTTTTCTCATGTTTTATCTCCAGGTTTTTTTTCAGAAACTTTTTTTTCCATGACTCTCATACATAAATTCGTGTAGGAATAGAGTAAAGTTAAAGTTTGGTCGAGCAAGGGTGCATACTGTATATACTACAGGGTGTCCCAATAAACATGGGAATTCAGTGACGAATTCGATATCGTCTTTTCAACTAATTCTTTGATTTAGTAAAGTGATAACTCCTGAGAAAGCTGTAATCTGTAAGAGTTTCGTCTACTATGTTCACATTTTGTTTGTTTATGTTTTGACTGCATACGGTTATAGTAAAACAAGAAAATTACAGTATACAAACAGAGTAAACTTGTCCGTCTTCACTGTTCATCTTGCGGAGACATTATATACACATATTTACAGTCTTTTACCCTTTTGATAAAATAAACTCTACCAGACATAATAATATTATGGCTTTTGAAATTAGGTATTACAATGCTAATTCATAACAAAGACGATATCCAATTCGTCACTGAATTCCCATGTTTTTGGGACACCCTGTATATGGGTGAGGGGGCTATAGGTTCAGAGCCCCCCCCCCTGTATACGCCTCTGTTGGTGAGCAATGGTTCTACTAATATTAATTTTAAAATTCATCATGCAAAGCAAATTTGCTTGATGAATTTTAACCCTTTTATATGATAAGTACATCTCTGTTGTAATTTTTAATATTTGCGTTTTTTTATTATATCTTTTGATTGTAAAAGAATAGATAAATAATAAACAATGTCTCACGTAAAAATTTGACAATTAGAGATAATTTTGCTGATCGAATTCATATTGATAGTTACGTTAAACTAAACTAAATGGCACATAGAGGATTGAAATATTTTATGTTTTCAATCTTAACTCCTCTTATTGAAGACTTATTGAGAAGAACAAACATGTTTTGAATATGTAACCAAATATATTTGGTTTTGTACACAAAATAATAACTAGAGGAGCTACGAGGTCCCAATGTCATAGCTGCAATATCGCATAAATTTGACCTTTCCCTATGTCTAGTTCACAGTGATGTGGCCTTATCTATTTCCCCCCCCCCCTCATTTTTCCCAAGGGGTAGAATATCACATATTCAATGCGCTGAATGCTTAAAAAATAGATAAATATAGAAACTGATTTGTCAGAATAGATTCATTCTGGGTTAATCTTGATATATATATATATATATATATATATATTCACTTCAGCTGATAAGATAAGAACATGGGAGGTTGTTTTCAAGGGTGTACCAGAAACATCAAAAATTGAATTAAATCCTCAATTCTTTACGAGACAATAAACCGTGGCCGTATTTCATACTTTAATACTTTCTCCTCACTTTTGAGTTGGAATTTTCAAAAATTTTGATTAAAAATTCGATCTTACTTATTATGTTTTTTTTTTTAAATAATCTGCGGTAGTGACATTGTCAAGTAGATTTATGTTTATTTTGGCCAGGTTGACCGATTTGATCAATAAAAAATGGGAGGGGGGGGCCAAAAATCCCCGAAAAATAGTAAGGAAAAATGTGCTTGGAAAATAATTGTAGAATATTCAGGGTTTGAAAACGATTTTAAGCGATAAAAGTTTACTAAACTCCCCTGATTCTCTCGCCTTCGGGTTTATTTACACTAGTTCCATTTATAAGAAGTAATGAATCTATCTTGTGAGAATATACATGTTTATCTACATTTATAAATCTGTCTGAGTATTGTTTATGTCTGTACGGGATGGGTTAAAATATTAACAAATATAAAACTTGGATGGGGGGGGGAATTCTGACTGTGTTAATGTTTCAGAGATGGGTTCGGTTTGCTCCCACATGCTCCGATCCCGCTGCTGTAAATATAGCTCCGTACCCTGCATTTACCAGTCAACTCTCCGTATACACACAACCCTTCCAGTATGTTAACCTGGAGACTCTCTACTCCGGAAGATAAGAGAATAAATGACGTAACTAGGAGAAGGGAAACTGCTAGGATATAGTTCTAATAGGTATTATTCATTAATTAAAGGATTTTATTACTTTTATCTCTAGCTCAGATTCACCTTATTATCTTGAAAGCTGTTTTCATCACCTTTCTTGTTTAAATATTTCTTTTATATATATGATTGGGGTTGTTTGCTTTTATATTGAAATGTCAAAAGTTATCTTTTTGCAACAAAGGACAAAGCAACGCTCATAAGAACTTCAGTAGAAGACAGGGGAAGGGTGAAACCTGAGATATTAGCATGTAAGAGAACCCGGTTCATTAATCCGTAATATTATTCGATATCTATACTTGGAACCGTGCTCAGGGTTAACTGTTTGATTTGTGCAGGTTGAGAATGAGAAAACTAGGATCCGTGAACGTGTTAATATTCCTCCTGGTGATGGAGTCCGTCTGGGGGTCTTCTCCTCCTAGGATTCTTTTTCTCACAGTGCTCCAGGACGGAGAAACATCACAAGTTTATACTAATCAATCCTTTCAATACTCACCCAGTTCCTTCCAGAACCTGGAGATTAGCTGTGAAACCGAGGAGACGGAGGAACCCGTCAACTATTTCTGGAATCTAATGGATATTCCTCTCTCCAAGGCGGATACAGATTTTGAAATTATTAACGGAACTCTGCGTTTCCTTCAATCTAACTATGGGATGTTTGAGTGTTTTGCATCTACTAGTTTAGGAACTAGCTATTCAGCTGTAGTCTTAACAAAGCATGAATTGGATACTCAATCTTCTCTGAAACTTGTTCAAGGACCTGAGCCCCTCAAAGTATCAAGTGCATCTTCTCTCCGGTTTCTATGTGAGGCAGAGAGTGAAGGAGACCTGGAGTTCTCCTGGACATTTAATACTAAGGCTGTGAAAACTGCGAGGTCGGACTGGAAAATTGAACGGTTATCCCGGAGTACAGAGAGTTTGTATATAAGTGAAGTTTCTCCGTCTGATATTGGAACTGTGGGATGTTTGGTTTCCTCAAACTCACATAAACTCTACCAGGAAGGTAGTATAGAGATAATAGAGGAGACGGAACTTAGGATGATCGCTCCGATAGTACGTCTCAGCACTGAGAACCAGGTTCAGGTTCTAGAAGGAGAAAGCATAAGTTTAAACTGTGAAGTGAAAGGTTCTCCAGTCCCTGACATACACTGGAAACATCAGAACAAAATATACATGGATAAACAATTCTCATTAGAAAACGTATCCCGAGAAAGTTCAGGAGACGTGATATGTTCGGGACATAATTTGGCTGGGCGGATGACAGATTCTGTTGAGGTTCAAGTATTCTCTCACACCACTGTAGACGACAATAAAGAAGAAATTCTGGAATTTCTTATTGACGGCGAGGTGCGATTGGAATGTAATTACAATGTTGATGAAAAGTGGAGAGAAGAAATTCAAGTAGTCTGGGAAAAGAATGGAAAACCTCTCTCTGCGGAGAATATTACAGTTGAATCAACCGTAGGAAAATCAATTCTTCACTTCACCATGATATCGGAGTCGGACCGTGGAAACTATTCCTGTTTAGTTGAAACTCCTTTGGATAAAGTTTCCAAGATCTGGGAAGTTAGGTTAGTTTCTTCTCCAGATATTCTTCATTTCGAGTCGGATAAGATTGTCTTACAAGGAACCCTGACCACTATTCAGTGCCAAACCACAGGTATCCCTGCTCCCAAAGTCTCCTGGTTCCTGAACGGAACCCTACTTGAAGAGACATCTAGCGTTCACTTTCTTGACTCCGGCAGTATACGCCTAGATAGTTTAGATCTCAGTCAGGAGGGAGAGTATCGATGTGTGGCAACTAATAAGTTTGGAAGCGAGGAGAGAAGTTTAAATCTTGCTGTGGCCCGTCCTACATCACCAATCATAGGTAACTCCATTGTAACATCCTACATATTTTTAGTTAATTTTTTTTATATTTAAAAGTGATTTTCAAAAGATTTTTGAATTTACTGAAATTAAATTCATAAAAAAATTCCAGCCCTAGATCAGTTGTCCTGCAGTTTTTCCTACAGTATATACTCCAGTATGTCCTACATTTTGTCATGTAGTTTGTCATGCAGTTTTTCCTACAGTTTTTCCTGCAGTTTGTCCTACAATTTGTCCTACAGTTTGTCCTATAGTTTGTCCACCAGATTGTCCCACAGTTTGTCCTAAATTTTGTCCTACAATTTGTCCTACAGTTTGTCCACCAGATTGTCCTGCAGTTTGTCCTACAGTTTGTCCACCAGATTGTCCCACAGTTTGTCCCACAGTTTGTCCTACAGTTTGTCCTACAATTAGGGTGAAGGGTCAATTTTAATTAGAATGCTAACAAAGTAGAACTCATGAGGTATATTACATAAACTAGTACCCTCCGATATATTACATAAACTAGTACCCTCCGATATATTACATAAACTAGTACCCTCCGATATATTACATAAACTGGTACCCTCCGATATATTACATAAACTGGACCCTCCGATATATTACATAAACTGGACCCTCCGATATATTACATAAACTAGTACCCTCCGATATATTACATAAACTAGTACTCCGATATATTACATTAACTGTACCCTCTGAACCCTGCCCTGCCTGTAAAAAAACATTTTTTGTTTTGATCTATTGATCAAATAATGAAGCATTTGAGTGAAATATTAAAAAGAAATAAATTTCCAGATACAAAAGAGAAAATCTAGTATTCATGTTTGAATAGTCTAATTCAGTCAATGTCACTCTGTCTTGAGTTTTAAAAGGAAACATTTTTTATTTTTTTCGTTTGCTATGCTTAGGAGGTCATTTTTATTAATATTTGTTTAATGTGATCATTTAACGAACTGTTTTTAAGATATTGAATCCGGTCTACTGGAGATGCAGGCTGGGAGCGGTTTAGATCTGATCTGCTCGGGGAACATAGATCCTCTGCTGAAGAGTTCGGCAAGGTACTCCTGGAACAAGGACGGGACGGATATTCCTGCTGACTGGATATCTGGTAGCTCAAGTTTAAATATCCCGTATCTTCTCAAGGAACATTCAGGACTTTACTCCTGTCAGATCCGAACCCTATTGGATCAGATCAGGATAGAAACCGAAGTTAGGATTAAAACTGCAGGACCAAGAATCATCACACCGGAGATCTCAACGCTGGGAGAAATATCCGGAGGCAAAGTGAGTATTGAATGCTCTGCTACGGGTATACCTGCTCCGACCCTGGTCTTCAAGTTTAAAGATGATGAATACTCAGGACGGATCATCTCCAGCTCCATCAACCAGACTCAGAGCGTCCTGGAGTTAAATAATCTGAGTGAGAAGGATGAAGGAGAGTACTTGTGTTTAGCTGTAAACGAATACGGGAATAGTCAGGAAGGAATACGACTAGAAGTGTTCTCTAGAACTATTATACTATCTGGTCCTAGTGATATAGTTCATAAATCTGGAGAATCTACAACTATACCTTGCAAGGTAAATAAACATTCAATAAGGAGATCTTAATTACATTTTATTGAGTTCTTATAACACCTAACACATTTGTTGACAGTTTAGATTTCCAAAACTTGGAAATCTGATATTTTAGATTTGCACAGGAAATAAGGATTTTTCAACAGACCATTAAAAGGGTAATTAATAAAACATGGGAAACTAAACAGTGCATAAAGTTCAATAGTTTCAAATGTTACAATGTACGGGTAAGGCTGAAAAGAAACAAGATTTCAGGCTAAAGTGTTTCAAATAACATAAATATTGGTAATGATTTGAAATTTATTTTGTGTCTTCTTGCATTTATTAAATTGTAACAGAATTCTCCGAAAAAAACGGAGTTTAAAGAAAAAATAATAACTGATTTAATTCCTTTATTTTTTTCAGGTAGAGGTGGATAAGGGATTGCGCCCATCCATGAAGATAACTTGGTTCAGGAACCAGTCTCCGCTCAACAGTTCTCCGAGTACCATCATCACTAGGGATAGTTTAACCCTGACAAATCTAACCAAGGACGACGAAGGAATATATTCCTGTATTGCTGAGACAAGGAAGGATAAAACATCTCTGTCCGGACGACTCACAGTTCTATCTGAAGCTCCAACCTTCTCGTCAACTCCGCGGGATATACGGATCCTAGAGGGTCGGGATACAGAACTGGATTGTCAGGCCAATGGAATACCGGAGCCAAGTGTATCCTGGACGTTTGAGGACGGGAGTTTGCGGAGTAACAAAGGAGTGCTGCGCCTTTCCTCTGTATCCCCGGAGAAGGAAGGAAACTATATCTGTACAGCGGAGAATATATACGGTAGTGTAAGTGAGACTGTTAATCTCCAGGTTATCAAGGGAGCTAGGAAAGAAAATCAGAATCTGATTCCAGACATTGTAAAGAATATTAAAGATACAATCAGCTTGCCTTGTGATTTCAAGGTTGATCAGCGAGTTGAGGAGGAAACTAAAGTTATCTGGACCAAGGATATGAACCCCATCCCTACAGACAGCTCCAAGTACAGAATAGGACAGAGTCGAGCTCTAGAGATAAAAAATATCCAGCTAGAAGACGCGGGACAGTACACCTGTAAGGTGATTACTCCATTGCAGGAGGTACAGTCCAAGATATCTCTGATTGTTAGCGGAGAATCTCCTGAGATTCTGAACTCCTTCGACAAGGTTTCTATCCACGAGGGAGACACCTTGTCCCTTAGCTGTGTGGCTAGAGGTGTACCAGGACCTAGTATCGAATGGTTGGTTAAAGACCGGCCTGTATCCAGTCAATACTTGACAAACATCCAGACTGCTAACTCCGAGTTTAAAGAAACAAGGGTTATTATTAAAGAAGCAACCAAGAACCAGGAGGGAGTTTATCAATGTGTTGCGAAGAATAATGTTGGAACTGTTGTTAAAAACTCTCATGTCCGTGTTGTGAAAAGGACCAAGGTGAGTATTATATCCGGAGAGGAAGGAAGAGCAGATATTACAGTTCCGGCAGGACAGAAGCTGAAACTACCGTGTAGGGTTGAGAACGACGAGATGAACAGGATCACGAGGATCCTCTGGTCCAAGGACGACAAGAACATCCAGGTCGGAGGAGAGGACATTATAGATTTCGGTATGGACGGATCAATCACTATTTTTAATGTACAGAAAAGGAACGAGGGTGTATATCGTTGCACTGTGACCACGGTTAGGGATGAAGCAAGTGCGGAGATTCCTCTCAAGGTTCTCGTCAACGCCCCTGTGATCACTAAATACAGCAAAAACCAGATGATATTTAGCGGAACCTCAACCATACTGGAGTGTATTGGAACAGGTATACCGGAGCCGGAGACAAGATGGACGTTTAACAAAACCATTACCAAGGTAATTGGTCCTACTTTCGACATAAAGAATGCAATTTCCGCAGACTCTGGATTTTATACATGCACAGCGAGAAATTCCATCGGAGAAACTCAGAGAACTATTGTTGTGAGCGTAGTAACTGTACCTTCAGCTCAGGAGATATATCAAGCTAAACTAGGTTCCAAGATCAAGCTCCCTTGTGTCAGAGAACAAAATAAGGTTAAGGTTTTGTGGCTCAAGGATAACAATCCCCTGGAGAGTCTGAGTGAGGGTATTGAGCTGGATGATCAGGGATACATGGTGTTTAGTAACCTATCCCATGTGGATGAAGGAGAGTACAGGTGTAGGGTTGCAATAGAGACAGGACGGATAGAGAGAGTGATGAAGGTTTCTATAATGCCGGATATTGTAACCATAGATAACAGTAAACTCGAGGTTAAAGAAGGAGATAATTTCACTCTCAAATGTGACGTGTTACCAGGTAGACGATAATTATTATTATTATGAGTCTGGGAGTGGATTAGATATTCTTCAACAAGGTGGAGTACTCACAGTAGAACAGGCTCGTCCTTCACACTCTGGAGAGTGGGAGTGTATCGCCAGCACTGCCTGGGGGGAGGATACAATACTATACTGGCTCTCCGTACCCTCCAGGAGACACGCGAAGAAACCCTGTAGTGTCAGGGTTCCTCCAGTCATCACGGAGATAATCAGCACCTCCAACACCAGCGTGGTGTTGGAGTGGGACGTGCTGAACTTCAACAGCAGCTGCTTCCAGGAGTTCATGATCTTCTGGTGGAGTAAGGAAGAAGACTCCACTCATGACAACCAAACTATTGAGCTTAAACATAGAAAAGCCACAATTATTGGCTTGAAGCCCGACGTGGCGTATTATTTTCAAGTTAATCTAGTCCGAGACAGATCATTAAAGGATTATATGTATGGTCAGACAAAGTCTCACATGATGCAATTTACAGAGAAGAGCGAACTGTCCTCGGATTCTAATCCCAAGGCTGTGATAATTATTGTTATAATAGTGATTGTACTCCTCCTCACCCTCCTAGTCCTTCTTTATATCAAGCGTGACAGGGTCTCGAAGTTCCTAGCTCAGAGAACCAAGACGAGAAAACACAGTGAGTTCTCGGAGTTTAGTTCTAAGCTCGTAGCAAACCCTGATTTCATGGCGAGTTTAGCTCCACAGTGGCCGGAACCTGAACCTGAACCTTCAGAAGCACATGCTTTCATCCAACATCAGGTAGTCTTTTATACTCATCAACATTCATTCATTCATTATCAGGTAGTCTTTTATACTCATCAACATTCATTCATTCATTATCAGGTAGTCTTTTATACTCATCAACATTCATTCATTCATTATCAGGTAGTCTTTTATACTCATCCACATTCATTCATCCAACATCAGGTATTCTTTAATACTCATCCAACATCAGGTAGTCTTTTATACTCATCCACATTCATTCATACAACATCAGGTAGTCTTTTATACTCATCCACATTCATTCATCCAACATCAGGTAGTCTTTTATACTCATCCACATTCATTCATCCAACATCAGGTAGTCTTTTATACTCATCCACATTCATTCATCGATCATCAGGTAGTCTTTTATACTCATTCACATTCATTCATCCAACATCAGGTATTCTTTTATACTCACCCTAATTCATTCATCGATATTCATTCATCGATCATCAGATATTCTTTTATACTCATCCACATTCATTTATCCAACATCAGGTAGTCTTTAAACTCATCCACATGCTTTCCTCCAACATCAAGTAGTCATTTATACTCATCCACATTCATTCATCCATCATCAGGTAGTCTTTAAACTCATCCACATGCTTTCCTCCAATATTATAAGTAGTCATTTATACTCATCCACATTCATTCATCCAACATCAGGTAGTCTTCTATACTCATCCACATTCATTCATCCAACATCGGGTAGTCTTTTATACTCATCCTCATTCATTCATCCAACATCAGGTAGTCTTTTATTACTCATCCACTTTCATTCATATATCAGGAAGTATTTACCCTTTACCCTTTACCCTTTATGATTCTATATTCCAAAAATTTCCGCCCCCCCCCCCTCATTCATAGAATAAAATCCTAAATAAATAATATCTATATGATTTTTATACATCTAACTAATTTTACAATCTTCCTTTTAAAAATTTTTGCACTTTATTAACCCCAAGCTATCATAATTTTAAAATGAATTTATCATGTAAAATAGAAAACTCACTGTTTTTAATTTACTAAATATTTTGGTGCTGGTTACTTGGCATATTAGAGGTAATAAATAAATGTTTATGTTTCAACTGCACCCTCGCCTCAAATTCTAACTTCTAATCCTGAAATCTTTGCAACCGGATGTCGTACACCTATTATAATATATCAAACTAAGAATACTGCTAGTAAAAATTTTAGATACCAAAGGTTTACAGAATCAGGTTATTAAGATATAGAGTTGGAAAATTAGACTCAGAGGCAATTGTTCATTTTTTTTAATGTGCGGGAAAACGTAGCTTTATGTGTTTTAATTTTTAGGTTATAATAGATACATAAATATAAGATGTGTTCAATGTTAGTTTTATAATAAAAAAATGCTTATTTGTCAACAAAAAATAATGTGTAGAATGGGGGGCGGGNCCATTAGCCATCTATACCTTTAAGAAATTTATTTAATATTTAATCAAACCCGTGGTTTGTTATATCACTAGCTGTAAAGATGTTTAGTTATCTATTCTAATATCTGGGGTTTGTTATATGACTAGCTGTATAGATATTAAGTTATCCATTCTAATATCTGTGGTTTGTTATATCACTAGCTGTATATATGTTTAGTTATCTATTCTAATATCTGTGGTTTGTTATATTACAAGTTGTATAGATGTTTAGTTATCTATTCTAATATCTGTGGCTTGTTATATCACAAGCTGTATAGATGATTAGTTATCTATTCTAATAACTGTGGTTTGTTATATCACAAGCTGTATAGATGTTTAGTTATCTATCCTACTACCTTTGGTTTGTTTTATCACTAGCTGTATAGATGTTTAGTTATCTATTCTTATATCTGTGGTTTGTTATATCACTAGCTGTATAGATGTTTAGTCATCTATCCCACTACCTTTGGTTTGTTATATCACTAGCTGTAGATGTTTAGTTTTCTATTCTAATATCTGTGGTTTGTTATATCACAAGCTGTATAGATGTTTTGTTATCTAGCCTATTAAAATAACTGTTTTATAAATATCTCTAATTTATATTTCTTTTAATATTATATATATTTTAGAGACAGACGTCTAGAAGGAACAGTAAAACCTCAATAACAAGTTCTTGGTCATCACTTTTCAACGTGGAGAATCTCTCCGCTATAGAAATGGAAAACCAAAACCATAAAGGAGGTTCTAGGAGGAATAATATATCCTGATATCCTAGATCAGAACTGCTAGGACGGATCTTGAAGGAATAATATATCCTGATATCCTAGATCAGAACTACTAGTACGGATCTAGAAGGAATAATATATCCTGATATCCTAGATCAGAACATCTAGGAGGAATAATATATCCTGATATCCAAGATCAAAACATCTAGGAGGAATAATATATTCTGATATCCTAGATCAGAACATCTAGGAGGAATAATTTATTCTGATATCCTAGATCAAAACATCTAGGAGGAACAATATATTCTGATATCCTAGAACAGAACATCTAGGAGGAATAATATATTCTGATATCCTAGATCGGAAAATCTAGGAGGAATAATATATTCTGATATCCTAGATCAGAACCATCTAGGAGGAATAATATATTCTGATATCCTAGATCAGAACTACTAGTACGGATCTAGAAGGAATAATATATCCTGATATCCTAGATCAGAATCTAGGAGGAATAATATATTCTGATATCCTAGATCAGAACCATCTAGGAGGAATAATATATTCTGATATCCTAGATCAGAACCATCTAGGAGGAATAATATATTCTGATATCCTAGATCAGAACCATCTAGGAGGAATAATATATTCTGATATCCTAGATCAGAACATCTAGGAGGAACAATATATTCTGATATCCTAGATCAGAACATCTATGAGGAATAATATATTCTGATATTCTAGATCAGAACATCTATGAGGAATAATATATTCTGATATTCTAGATCAGAACATCTATGAGGAATAATATATTCTGATATCCTAGATCAGAACATCTAGGAGGAATAATATATTCTGATATCCTAGATCAGAACATCTATGAGGAATAATATATCCTTATCTTGAATAGTTAATATCCTAGTAAAGAATTACAATCAGAGCCTAAAGGGTGGATAACTATTGAATTTGTAAACGATAAAATATCCAACTATTGAACTGTGAATAGAATATCAGGTTTTCTTCCATACTCTGAATACCGTGAAGTGTATACACCAAATTCAAATCTCTTACAAAGATCTAGACTCTTCAGAAAACCTGAATTTAATTTTAATCTCAAAATGGAAAATTAAAACTTATTTATTTTTGTTTACATTTTTTGGTTATTTTTATATATTATGATTCAAGTCATTTTATGATGTTTTATGATGTTCTATAATGTTAACCTCCGAATCTTTTTATTATTTTAACATAATACAAGGTCTGATTGAGTCTTTATTTAACAATGTATAAATCATATCACACGTATTTTTTTGTTATTTTAATCTGATATTTCATTTTTTAATCTTGAAATAAATGCAACATATATAAGAATGTAGTTTTTGCTATTTGCATTAACTGGAATTGTCTACGGAATTTTATGGGACCTTTCAATTAAAGTGTGCCATCAACGATTAGTTAAAAATATGATTGAAAAGGTGTCATCAACTAATTAAAACAATTATTTATAGATTTATTAAAAAGTATTTTTAAAGGGGTGCCATCAACGATTTAACAACATTTAATAAAGTAAAGTTTGACCCTTACGATTTATAACTAAATATCAATTAAAGGGCACCTTCACGATTTATAACAAAATATTTATTAAAGGGTGCCCACTTAAATAAGTTAATTAAAAGGTGCAATCAACGATTTATAAATATGTTAATTAGAGGTTGCAATCAACGATTTGTAAATATGTTAATCAAAGGGTGCCCTTAACGATTTATAACTAAGTAGTTAATAAAGGGTGCCAGTAACGATCAGGTTATAGCTATAACAACAGATGATGACACAATTCACACAATTTGATAAGATGAAGGATTCACTAGAGTGTTTTGGTTTGAAATGGAACCCTAGTTCTATACATACATTCTAATATTGCAATGTTCATTATTATATTTGAAGTTTAAAAAGAGTAATTGGCAAAATACTGCTTGCTTTTTTGTGTGAGAGCGTGCACATCTTGGTTTGTAGTTAGGCTCATTTCCCGTTAGGATTGACCCTTGAAATCATAGTTTTACGTATCCAGGTTTATTTGATGGGGTTCTCTCAACGAGGTTTTGGTTCTTCTTAGCTCAAGGTTAGATAAATAATTATTACTATGTACGTTTGCCGTTATTCTTCTGATTCCATTTTTAAAACTATGAAAATTCAAATCGTTATTGCATAATGCAATACAGAAAAAGAAATACTTTTAAACCCCGTGGTCGTCGTATATATCAATACAATGAAGACAACTTTCGATTTTAATTTTATTTCTATCATAGCTTTTAAACAGCATGGATACACATAAACATGACGACAAGAAGTTCTTTAAGAGCTTCTCTTTGCTTGCTTGTAATTTGAAAATGCCTTGTTAGAAATCAAAACTTAAATTGATAAGTTGTCTTCATTGTATTGATATAAACGCCGACCAATTTATCATATTTTCTCAAAAGTAGACCGCAACCGCAACGACCGCATGGGGAATGGGCATTGTTTAATGTACAAAGTACATGTTTATACAAAGTACAAAGTACATGATTATTTAAAGTACAAAGTATGCATGTTTATACAAAGAACATGTTTATAAAAATAGTTATTACTTTCAGAAAAAAAACAAGATTTAATATTGACAGTTTCCCCACTATAAAAATATTCTATTCTAATATAATGTATGACGACATTGCATTCGCTCTCTATTCCCTTCATTTTCTTTAAGCTTTTTATAAATGTTTTAATTCAGGGGCGGATTGGATTGGAATTTTTTGTTCCTATTTTCAGAATAGCTTCTCAATAGCATGCTGCATGCTTAAGGGAAAAAACCCTAGTGCAAAACAGGAAAAATATCTGTCTTAATAAACTAACATGTGTGAAAAGTTAAAAATCTAGTTTTTTAGTCTTTAGTCATTAATTTTGACTCTTTTTGAGTCTTTTAAGTCAAAATATGTTCACCTGCAGCGCGATTATTATCATTTTACATCAAATATGAATGAATAACAATTCACAAAACAATAGTTTTTGTGAAATAATTGAATTTAGAGACGACTCTTAACGTATATAAAAGCTCAAATTAAAGTATTTTACTAAAACTATTACGTTTTGTGAATTGGTGCACATATACAGGGTGTCCAACGAAACATGGCAGTTGGTTAATAATTTCGAATGTCTTCTTTCACACACTTTATTAGATATTAAAGAATTTTTGCAGTTTATTTCTTTAAAAAATGTTTAACTGTGATATATTTTACTGTAAATTCAATTCTACTGTCATATAAAAAATGTTATTAGTCTCTTTATTATAAAATAACTTATCAAATCATGGAAGAAGACATTTTAAACTAATCACCAACTGTCATGTTTCGTGGGACACCATGTAAGTAGTTAGATTTCTATTTGATCCTGTAAAATGAAAACAAAAGCTGCAATAGCTCTGCACAAGTTTAGGAATTTGTGAAGTTCAGAAAAACAAAAATAGAAAGAAGTCTTAATCTCAACTAAAGTAGACTTTTTGATACAAATTTTTTATGTATGTATTATTAAAAAAAATGATCATGGTGAGATTAGAGATCAGTGGTCAGAATGCTGAACTTGGAGACAGAATTGAATAGACTTGGAGACCTTGCAAGAGGCTCGGTATAGTTATGAGGGGCGTAGAGGCCATTTCGAAGGGCTCATGGTGGCTCTGCAACCCCTTCCTCGTTGACGACTACATATCATAAATAATTTCAAAGATCAAAAACGCCTTGCAAATAAAATCATCTTGCTACTTGGTGTCAGGTTTCGTGGGATACCGTGTATTTAAGTTTAAGTATATTTTAAAAGAAAAAATCTAAAATACACACATTTATAAATTCGATAAAAGCAAACCTTATAAAAATATGCTAACCATATATTATTAATACTTCTAGCAGTTATATAATTAAAAGTGTAAATTAATTTTAAGGTCAGCATGAGAAACAAATCAAATTTTTTTTGAAATATCGAAAAACGCAAAAATATCCAGGGGTTAGAAACCCGTCTCAACATGTTTTAACAAAAAGAAAAATTTACCTCCCTAATAAATCAAAGAATAAATAATGGTAAACTCATCAGGCGTGAAGTTGTAAAAAAATGGTTGTACATTGTACATGCCTGCGTTAAAACCGGTTATCTAAATTTTGACTATACGTCTCGGGCCAGGCATAAATGAAATTGAATATTAATACAAGATACAAGATACAAGATGCAGGATACAGGATACAGGATACAAGATACAGGATACAGGATACTGGATATAATTACAGGATATTGGATACTCGATACAGTATACACGGTTTCAAGCTTTCAAGAATCTATTAGAATTTTGTGAGTAAGATACAGGATACAGGATACAGAAATCTGTCCCCCCCCCCCTGATATACAGCTGGAAATCTGCTCCCTCCCCCTGATGTACAGCTGGAAATCTGCTCCCTTCCCCTGATATACAGCTTGAAATCTGCTCCCTCCCCCTAATATACAGCAGGAAATGTGCTCCCTCCCCTTGATATACTGCTGGAAATCTGCTCCTTCCCCCTGATGTACAGCTGGAAATCTGCTCCCTCCCCCTGATATACAGCTGGAAATCTGCTCCCTCCCCCTGATATACAGCTGGAAATCTGCTCCCTCCCCCTGATATACAGTTGAAAATCTGCTCCCTCCCCCTGATATACAGCTGAAAATCTGCTCCCTCCCCCTGATATACAGCTGGAAATCTGCTTCCTCCCCCTGATAAACAGTTGGAAATAATCCTCCAAGATTTGAAGCACCCATTACTCCGGCATTATTTCTATCAAATTGGCGATAAGAGTTTGAGAGTAGTGGCGGGGGTTTAGAATATAATTACCATGTATAACAGATAAATCCACACTTGGATATACTTGTAACATACATTACACATACAATATTAAAAACAGGAACACTTGGATATATACTTGTAACATATATTACACATACAATATTAAAAACAGGAATACTTGGATATATTTGTAACATATATTACACATACAATATTAAAAACAGGAATACTTGGAT